AAATACAAGCAAAGTACCTCCCACGGCTACCCGTTATGTCTCTTGTGTGCTTTTCTACTGTTATTTTTTGTTGTTCTATCTTGTCCTGAATTTCCAGAGTTTGCAGTGTCTGCGGGCTCATAAGCCTAAATGAAGATAATCACCTGACCTTGGTATGCACTCAGGGTCCGAGCTTGGGTACCCAGCGAGCCCAGATGCAAGTTGTACATGCGACGTGGGGTGTCCTTCCGCCCCAGTGCAGGGACCGTCGACTTGTCTTCACGCGTTGATTGCACGAGTCAAAGCATGTCAATCTGGCATTCGGTGGGGTGCTGTCTGCGCCTGCGTCTAACTCGAACGTCACGGTCTTGCGTTGGCAGGCCTCTGGTGGAGGACTGGGTGCAAGAGGGTTGCGTTCTACTTCTAAAGCTTTTTGCCGTGACAGCGGTGGAAGTAAACCACAGAACAGCCTAGGTTTGGGCACTGCGCATAGCTCCAGGCATAGAACAAAATCTGAGCAGACTCGCCGCTTACAGGTTGATGATCAGGCAAAGGTTTCCACGTGCTCCGTGTCGTCAGCTTCCTGCTAAGTCGCGTAGCAGAGAACCCGGGCCCAACTTACCCTGCAGCCAGGAAGCGAGGCACAGCCAGAAGATCTCATGAAGGTGCCCAGGCATTTGAAAGGAGGGTTTCGTAGGATCTATAAACATACAGACATACATGCATGCATACATACCATTCCATGGAGGTATACCTATACTGGACCTAGGCCATCCCATGCCTACATATATACTTACGCCTGCATACATAAATACATAAATACATACATACATACATTCATATATACGAACGTATCACAATAGCAGAACAAAGCATACTCGCACCATAGCATACATACAGGAATACATATGTACGTACGTATACAATTGTCTTAGGTTGTATTTTCGATATGCATGACAGTAGCTATAGCCCAGGTAGCCCAGGGCCGATCGGCTCAGGATTCGTTTCTCATGCCACCCCGCTGTGAGCGGATGTATAGATACATAGACAGTACAACGATCGGTTTGGCTATTTATGCATCTCAATTTGGCATGCAACTGAAATTTTCCTGTATGTGCAAGAGTATACGACTATATACAAGTAAGTTCGTACATGAATATTATTCCTATATGCACATGGTGAACGTGCATGATATACAGCCAAGACCAAGAAGACCCAGAGCCCGATTGACTTTCGCTCTCATGGCAACCACTTGGATACTTCAGGGCCCCTTGCAAGGAAATCACTTGCACGAAACATGGTTCCAATTGCCAGCTACGTGTAGGATTGTAAGGAATTGCTAAGCCATGTGACTACCCATAGGACCCATAGTAGCTCGTTTTCGGGATTACCTTATAGGATTCTCAAAAAGGAACTACTATGGGACCTGTGGGAATGCCTACACCGTTCAAACATCGTCTCCTTCCCAGGCCCTCCTGCAAGCAGCGCCCGGATTGGGCCAGCCGCCCCCAGAAGTGGTGGGGCTCGCGCTCAAGCAGGCTCGACTTGTCTGGTTCCTTTGAAAAGCTACATGCTTCGGACACTCGGCTCTGCTTGAGCTCTTTGCAAACGACGATCTTATCTTCCGAGCGACTTCTGTCTGCAAGGACATTGAAACATGAGATTCCACAATTGTTGCATCTGTGAATTCCAAGAAGCGCTGAAGCCAATGGTGGCAACCCTCAGCAGATGTTGCTACTCGTTGGGTGAGCCATGCTCTCGAGTGGGTTAGAATATCTAGGCCACAGTTTGGAAAGCTCGCGAAGTGGACTCTTCGAAGGTGGTTCTCATAGCCTCCGCTGCGAGCACCCGTTGCAGTCGTAGCAGGGGTTAAGTTTGGGGTGATGGGAAGTTGGTCGCAGGTGAGCTGAGTGAGTGGTAGACCGATGGATATCGCAGCTGGGTTGTTTTTCCCTTGTGTCCCGCCTTGGAGTGTTCAGCCGATTAGTTGACAGACTGGCGTGTGGTATTCCGTGATGGCATCATCTTGGCTCCAGAGCTGTAGGGCTCAGGGTCGAGCGTTCCCGGTGGCGCCGTGGAGGCACTCCGGCTGTCGCTGTGGCGTCGGGGTCGCTGCACTCTCACGGCTGGCACCTCCCCCGCAACTCAGCGTAAGCATTAACCTGGAAATGAAGATGGATATAGATGGATATTGCTGGACTCGTTGAACTTCTCGTCAATGTGGCAAGGGTGCAGGATGTCCCGCAAGAGAGCAAGCCTAGGCTTAAACCATCGAGTGCCAAAGAGACCATGAGCAAGTAGAAGAAGATGAAGGAAGCCGAGGAGGAGCCGCAAATCCCGAATTCCAAAACACCGGCGCTATCGTCCGAGCCGTCGTCCAAGGAGGCCCCGGCCTTGAACGGCGGCAGAAGTGGACCTGGGAGAACCCCACGTATGCAGTCAAATTGTGTATGAAGCCTACGCGAAGAAGCCGGAGGTCAAGTGGCAGAGAAGCGACTTCGCCGAGAGCGACTTCTTTGCATTGGAGTCCGAACAGAAGACGGCTTTCACGGGAAATGATCTTCGAGCCGCTCCCGATGCCCCACAGAATAGGGGGATCGCGCGCACGGCAACTGCAAGGAAGCAGACTTGGATCCGTTTCCCCCCAGACCTCCGGCGCCAGAAGCAAAACGACCCAGGCCCGGCTCCGACGGTTTTTGGCAGCTTCTCCGAGGACCCCTGTGAGGATCAAGACGGATGGCCTCAGAGAAGAGGGCATGGTATATCCCGTATCGCCGGGGTGCCACAATGAAAAGGGCAATCATGGATGAGAAAGAAGCTTGGGACGACCTGACACATGTTCTTCTCATCCGCCTGTAGACGTTGACTTCCAGGGTGCGGCAGAAAACACGCCGACCTGCCAAGCCATCGTCGTCGTTCGCTCCGGTGGTGGTGATAGTAGTTTAGCAGTGGTCGTGGCCGTGCTAGCTAGTAGTAGTCGTCGTCGTTGTCGTTGTGGTGGTGGTAGTCGCAGATGGTAGTACTCGTGGTGGTGGTGGTGGTAGAAGGTCCCCTCAGGTTCAACAGAGTCTACCCCGGGGCCGCATGTTAGAGGTCTTTGGGGTTATGACAGGGGTCATAATGGGTATTATTAGTACTAGTACTAGTGTCGATGTGGCATTCGTAGGCAGTAGCAGCAGCAGCAGCAGCGGTAGATAAGGAGAAGGGCAAGTCAAGACACGCGTGGTTCAGTGCGAGGGTTCCTACAGGTGAGGCTTGAAGAAGGCGGTTGGGCATCCAACTTAGCTGAGTCAAGTCTCGCCCTGCTTTGCCCCGACCGCAGGCGAAAGTCTCGATCAATGAGGACACTTGGCCGAAGATTGTCAGAGATACGCCGTACGTTCGACTCACAGCATAGCCCCAACTAAACTTCAACCATATGCGAGGCCGGCGAGGCATAACCAAAACTTGATCCACACCCAGAAGCAGCAAGTACACTCCCCAACCTCTGGCAGAGTTACGCAGGAGGATGGATAATCTCGTTTGCGGCCCCATGTGGATTTTCAAGAAATTCAGACTCTGAATGTGGAGAGGTAGCCGCACAGATGCGGGTGTTGAGCAGTGCTAGCATCTAGCATACAAACAGCATCCCGACAACCTGCTGACTGCAGCACGGTTGTGCTGAACGCCTTTGGCGTTCCAAGTCTGCACACTGCAAACCACACAGCAAACCCCTGGATCTCAGAGATTAGCTTTGCACCTCTTCCAGGAAGGCCACTCTTTGGCGACTGTGTTGTTTTAGCAGCTCCTAGCTAGAGAGTGGGCCCGACGTTCCGAGGGACGTCCCCCAACAAGCACGCATAGGATGTGGTGATCCGAGCCCTACGAGCTGCCGGTGACAAGAATCCCTCTGCAAACTCGATCCGGACTGCTTTGGCGGCTGCGCAACCTGGTTGCGTTACATGTTCAAAGTGTGTTGACTTTTGGAGTTAGCCAAGGTATTGTTCAGGGTTCAGTGTTTCGTATATTCGGGTCTCGGAACGGACGGTCGAGTCGATACCAAGCGAGCTCTCAGCATGTTTTCAAGCTGCTACACAGGCGCAGAGTAACAGTACTCGTAGCTGCGTAGCAGAAGCAACTGCAAGCTTATCATGGCCATACCAAGACTGCTTCAAGCCAGAAGCATTTGCAAGGTATTTAAGCCTGGATGCAGAAAACACCATCAAGCTGTCGGTGTGAGCAGTGTCATCTTCATCGCACCAACAACCCAGCAACCTTCACATCAACTGGCGTCACGGAAGACGACAACATGACTTCAACGAGGCCGACTGTCATGGCATGCGACCCGAAGCCTTCTGTTCCCTGCGGGCTTGAAGGCAGGATGACGAATGACATCCCAAGATCCGCAGCACCTGGAGACCCAGTGGAGGCTGTGAGTAGCAATCGCCTAGCCGACGTCTCAGAGGTACCCCTGGCATCATCGTATTGCCCGAAGTCCCGCATCAGCAGCAACTGATCGAAGAAGACTTGCGGCGCGCCGCCGCGAGCATTATCTTACACTTTAAACAGTGTGACTACCGGGTTGACCCCGCATAGCCCTAGTGACAAAATGAAGCTCTTGTCATTGCGATTGCATGCTCCACACTGCATGTTCAGATCGTGCTTCTCGGTTGGATGTGTAAGCAGCTGTTACAACAGGCCCGGAAGAAGAGACTTCCGGATGCACAAAACTTGGATGCCCACAGAGAGAGCAACCAGCAAGCACTTTCTGAGGGTTTACAGTTTCTAACAAGCTGCCCACCTCCAGCCTCATCGACTTCGCCAACTTTCGTTGCCCAAGCTGTGACATACACTTCCCAATGCTGCTTGAAGCTCCACTTCCGAGAGCCGGAAAAAACCGCCCCAAATGTTGCCAAGACGGAAACCCTGAAGTGAAGAATTCACAACTTCCCAAGCTAGTTAACCCTGCTTACTTCTTTTGACCCCTAGAAGTAACGTCCTTTAACCCAACCTGCCTTTGCCTGCATGTGCATGTGCGCAACATGCAATGGCTGGGGCTGCTGCCGGGCCTAGTTACTGGGATTGCTCCGATTGGGATCCCTCTGGGACCTTCAGGCAGGCAGCGGCCAGGTTCACGATTCTTCACGATCTCTCATGGTGTTTTTGGCTGTAGTCGCATCTCGACATACCTACCGCGGACATGTGAATGGGTCATGTCGGACATCTGAATATATAAACAAGGCGTATATAAGCATGAAGAAGTTTTTCCTGCTGCAGCAGCAGTATCCGGTCTGCATGGTTCTTTGATTGCTTCTAGCCTTGTTTCGGAGCCAGATGTGCTGCACCAGGCTCCCGCCCGGGAGCGCGCGGATCTGCGGTGCATTTTGCGTTGCTTCGCCTGATAGAAACGGTGTTTTGGTGGTAAAACAGTTTTTGACTACAGTGTATGCAGAAAGGGGCCTTCGAAGCCACCTTTGAAATTGGCTTTCGCTTGGGTTCGGGACTCTTGCTGTTCGCGTTAGCAAGGACTCATCGTTCCGTGTTCATGTTTTGCCATGGTGCAAGCATGGGACGAAACGAAAATCGCAGGTTTACGAAAGCTCTAGATAAACGGTTCCTCCCCCTTGTAACTCAAAGTGTGCCTTAGTTTGCAGAATGTGGCGATTCGGGGAGGTATGATCGAAGGAGTCATCAGTTCATACTATCAGAAGCCGCACACCTGCGACTCGCAAGTCTCCCACGAGATCGACGGTATTCATGTGCCTAGGCAGCTGCAGGACCTAGTCGTGTTTCAGAAGATCGCACAGACAAGCCCCACCCCAACCCTACTGTAGAGGCCTGAATAAGTACCTGTACTATTTTGGGTGGTTCCTTATTATAGTTGCAGCATCGAGGGCCCCAAAACCCTGATCTAATTGGTAAGGCCCTTATATTACTCTCCACGCCGGCGAACAATGCTCACAAACGAAACTGCTCTTAGATGGTTTGGGGAAGGCCCCTTGAAGCAGGTAGAGCCAGGGATGGCTGGGACAGGATCTATATAATTTCGAACTCTGCTCCTTGCCAATGCAGATGAAACTAGGCACATCGTAAGTAGTCGGCAGAGGCTTCATCTCGTTCATGATGATTGATCTCATTCTTGGCTGGTCGGATGGGTAAGTAAAGGTTCAAACTCTACTACAACTCTTGTTGAGCCTCGCCTCCAAACAGGTTCCCTTTGGTGCGCTGGATCAGGCAATACTGCGACTTAGCTGCAAGACCCGGTCTGGCGGTGATACTTTACGAGCCCAAGGTAGCAGTCTTTCACTTGGAGTCACTTCTATGACTGTGAGTGGCCTTGTCAGCATAACATCACTGCTGCCCTTTCGTGTGTCATGCCGTCGCATGAGTACTGCGCCTGACTGTAGCAAGTTTTACCGAAAACTATACTCTAACGTGCGAATCGAAACCCCGAAACCCTGAACCCCTTGTACCAAGTGTACCAAAACCCCTAAACCCCCCTGAACCTCAGGGCCTCAGGCGAAGAGCTCGCGCTTTCGGGATGTGGAGCTAATTTTGATCTCTGCTGCTTTACTCCCACTAGAATGATCAGTAATCAATATATATATATATATATATATATGATGTGTTTTGTGTGTGTGTGTGTCAGCATTTAAGCAAATTGACAGGCAAAGGCGTTGCCTCGGCATCAGAGCGAAGCACCGTGCCTGAGCAGTCGAATATTTTGAGGTGACCTGGCCAACTATCCGGATGCTGTGCCGGAGGAGGAGGCCGCTAAACCAATGACCCTAATTTTCTTGGACAGCCGTAGGTATCAGAGAAGGTGATGGCGTGCCATAATCCGACCAGCAAAAGCAAGAACTAGAAGCAACAGTGCGAGTAGTCACAATAAGCACTCACAATAGTTATAGACTTCAGTGTGCACTTACATATATATATATATATATATATATGTACACATATATATATATATGTGTGTGTGTGATAGTTGCAAAGACAGTGAAGGACAGTTCTCGTTTAAGAATTTCAGACATTTCGCATGGTTTGTGTTCTTGGTCCCGGGTTGCTCTCTGGAGCTTGCCAGGAACTCGAAGGGACGCGGATGCTCTGAGTAGACCAGAACATGGACTGCAGGCTTTTTGGCGTAGAATAGGTCCCCTCTGACTACTACTACTACTACTACTACTACTACTACTACTACTACTACTACTACTACTACTACTACTACTACAGATATGAAACTATATGAGTCTCAAAGGTTGGAACCTAAAGTCTCCTCAAGCAGGCACTTCGTGGTCATCGTTTGAAGCTTGAAGCCATGCATCCGTAATCGACCCGGAAAGCAGCAGAAAAAACCGGTCATGATGGTCACTATGCTTACGGTGCTCATGCTGAGGAAACCCTAAACCCTAAACCGTCTATGTGGAGCCTTGCCTGCCTGTGCGAGTGTGAGCGTCGAAACCGTCCATGACTCTTCGGCAACGGTGAGCCTCGGTCCTCAGCCCCCGGCATGCAACTGGGGGAGTGCTGTAAGTTCAGCAGCCAGCGCTCACACTGCGCAACTCCTTCAAGTCTTGGTTTGTGGAGACCCGTCTCTCAAGTATGTCCTGCACAGGTTCAGGGATTTGGGTTTGCAGCTGATCCTTCGAATGATGCAAGCGGGTGGGAATCCCAACGGCGGTTGTAACGCGTCCCAGTTTCTTACCACCTGCACATCAGCTGTCCACACGACGCAGGAAGTGGAGTATGTCCGGGGCATGTCTCGGGCCTTGAAGAGCAACTTGGCACACAACCCTCATCGTCCATGCCCCCATTGCCTTAAAGCAGTGTCCAAGAAGGTACTTTGGGGCCGAAGTATACACTATTTGGGTACATGGTACCCTAAACCCTAAACCACCCTTAGGGCAAAAGTCTGCAACTCTGGTTGTGAATTGTGTTGTCTCTCGCCTAGGCATTGAGAATGCAAGTGGCCACTTGCATTGGAGTCTCGGCCTGGGTCTGGAGTTTAATAATATGGGGGCCTTAATAATTAGAATAGGGTTCCTTTTCAAGGGCTCTATAAAGGCTTCTATAAGGGATCTGTTTAGGGGCCTTTAATAATTAGATTAAGGTTTTGGGGCCCACGACTATACTATAACTACAGTAAGAAACCCCCAAAATAGTATATATAATTACTAAGGCCCACATTGGGGAGGGGAGCAGTGGTTATCAGTGTGGATTCCCGCATCCATGCCATCATCATCATGGGTAGTGCATTGATGAACATTGCCCTTGTTATGACATTCATGATCTGGATAGCCTGACTACGATGATGCTTGCGGTTGCATGCCTTCCTTGAGCTTGCGCGATAATGCCCCCCAGAGTCGTTGTGCTGCCTAGTGCCTTTTGTTCTCCCTAAGAGGCTCTGCGAGATCCTGAAGTCTGGCACGGATGTCTGTACGGTTCTCGCTGCATAAGTCTGCTACGCTTCTGTACATGCACCCTTCGCTGTGAGAGTGCAGAACCCAGGAGGTTTGTGCGAACTGGCTGGCTGCTGGGCAGCATCTCTGCAGAGCATTTGGGCCCAGCGCTATTGCGCTTCGTCTCGGCAGGCGTGCCGCTCGCCGCATCAAGGTAAGTTCGGTGCATTTAGCTTTCCAGCGGCTTTTCGTTAATATTTTGACATTCACGCTTCGCGTTTGCAGTGTCTGCAGAAACGCGGGGGGCCTGGATCGACCCACACATGCTCAGTCTGCCAGGCTTTCAACCCCTCTAGACTCTAACTGTCTAACTCCCCAGACCCTTGGGCTGGAGGCCTTCTGCAAATGATTGCAAATGCATGTTTCAACGAGGCACTTGAACAAACACAGGCGATCACAGGCGCCAAGACAAGTGAAGAGACACAACAACACATGCGTGGGCCTATCTACTGATTTCTGGGCACAGCCATGTTCGATCTTCACTGAGCGGGGGTGGGCTCGTAACTGCCTTGTACTTGGAGGATATGGACTCTTAGTCTTAGTGTGAGAGCGTAGCGTTACAAACTCCCATTGTTGACTGATCTTATGCAAGTAGTTAAGTATGTAACCCCCTCCAGCTATCGGGGAGCAAGTTGCTCCAGCTTTGGTGAGGGCACGCAAGACATGGCCATGGAACTGTTGCTCCGAGCAATGAAATCTGCGCTATTTGTCAACAGGGCTTTGCTGATCTTCGGGCATGGTCTCATCATGCGTTCAAACGCCATGGGCGTATTCGCCCTGAGCGGCATCTCGCCGACGGGTCCCAATGCCCTGTTTGTCTGCGGACTTTTGCATCGAATGGCAGGCTTTGCAACCATTTGCGACATAACCGCAGCTGTCGTGATGCTCTCACTGCTGCCGAGCATGCGGTTCAGCCCCTTCCCGGTCGTGGATCCAGGCGTTTTGATACCGGGGATGATTCGCTTGTTCCAGTCATGCAGGCCTCCGGACCCTCCAAGCCCTGGAGTTTCCAACCGCTCGTTCAGGAACCGGACAGGCCCTCCGAGGAGGTACTTGGGCGACTTGAAACCATCTTATGCCATCCTGAGGATGGAGCTGATTCATATGCTGCCCTCCTCGAACAGTTTCGGTTCGCCTTTTGCACTGTGTGTTTGCAGCGCACTAGGCTACGAGCAACAGCCACTGCGTGGCATGACTGTCTTCACGACCTACTTTCTCAGGATGAGGAATGGCCGGTGCAGTGGGCCAGCTGGCACACTAAAGCTGCGCGTTTCCTTTTGTCTGTTGACCTCGTTGAGTGGTTGGTACCTCACATTGTTGCTCCTGCGGCCAGCATCAGCACCTTTCGTGATGCCTCCACCGTCTTACCATGGCTTGATTTCCACCATGCAGTCCTTCCCTCTTGGTCTGGAGCTCGGATCGAGGTTTCCCTTGTCTTTACTGATCGGGTTGAACTCTCCCTGCACATGCCTGAGGTGTCTGTCCGTACCCATCTTGCTTGCATTGCCGATTCGTCCCTACTTGACTTCGGACCACTCTGCCAATGCGCCGCCGAGGCTGTCGTCGTCTGTGATGTTAGGCACATCCTCTCATCACTTCAGCCTCCTTCCCCTCTACGGTCCTTTTCAAGTCTTGAGGCCAGTCTGCACAGGCTTCGACTGTTCGGTGACCTTGTCCGAGGGGTTCTGCATCTGTGGACCCATGGCGCTGGAGCTGTCCTTCTTGTGTCTGGACTTGACTGCCCTGCACTCGGGGCTCTGACCTCCCTCGCGCCCCACAGCCTGAGCCGAACTAATGGACTTTTCCTGGCCAACTGCCCATTGTCTTCGGCTCCACTTTCCCTTCTCACCCTTTACTTCTCACCCTTTAATTAATGCAAGCCGAACATCGGCTGCGTCCGACCGGACCCATTGCCACGAAATGCGAAAAAATGCGAACCCCCTCCAGCAACCTAGCAAGTCTCATCCTCAAAGTAGTGGCCGGTACAACTCGAAGCCGAAAGCTGCGGAATGTGCAGACCCTACGTCGTCCTACGTCCTTGTGCCTTCAGTCACAGCCCAGCAGAAGGCAGGACCCTGCTCTAAACTTCCCCGTGCCTTCTTTCAAGCACAGTGCTCATATACGAAGCGTTGAAACGTCGGAGCTTTCCTCGAAGGACACGGCGACACTGCTGCTACTGCTACAGCTCCTACTGCTGCTGCTGCTGCTGCTTCTGCGACCTCCCATGACCTTCGGTTGCTGCTGTTTGTACTTCCCTGAGTATATATGTTCATACTCTAAGCCTGGAAGGAGTGCCCCATCGACGTCCCTGGGAAGACAGACATGTCGCATACACTGCCCTGAGCAATCGTGTATAAATCGGTGCCACGACATGCAAGTGATTCCAGAAGTCGCGCTATATCTCGCTCGAGACTGGATGGCTAAGCTATCTTCTGCTTTACCCAATCGCGATGCCACGCATCTTTTGCCATGTTGCCATTGCACTTTGAGCAGCCTCCTCACTGTGGATGTTTCTGCCCCATGGTCGGGAAGATGATTAGCACCAAATCTGCAGTACTATCCTCTGCCAGCTCAGGATAGGGGAGGTGGCCATCTCGATGTGGCAAGGGCTTTGCCTCCAGGACCGCTCTGGCTTGGTCTTCAGATTTGGAGAAATGAAACTGGCATCACTGCAAGTTTCAGGGCTTTGCCAGGGTGAACCTCACAGGGCTTGGGGCCTGCACTCCACCATGGTCTACACTACACGGTATACACAGCAGGGCGTCCAACGGAAGAGATGCACACCCAAGATTGTCGCATTGCCCTGGTAGTGCCTCGATATAGAATGGTACGACCGTATACATACATAAGTTTCAATGCTTGACCAAATACTTACGTACATACAAATGTACATGCGCTGCTACATTGCATTACAGGCAGTAGGTACATGCGTATCATGCACTACACTACAACCAGTACTTGCATGCATGCATGTGTGCATACATTCACCCGCACACACACACATACCAAACATATGCAAATACATATACTTATACGTATACAGAAGCATAAACAAATGTACGCGCGCAGATTGGGCATGTACTTATGTAGACGCATATGTAAGCAGTATTAAGCAGTTATGCAAGCATTCATCAACAGCTTTCCTGTATACAAACCTAGCACACCAATGATATGACTGTTCTCACCGCTTTCGTGTACGTGTGAATACTCACACACATTCACATCCGTGTGTGAGTGTGTGTGTGTGTGTGTCTGTGGTTGCATGTGTGTCTGTCTGGTTGTCTGCATGTATGTATGTATGTAGGTACGTGTGTATGTATGCATGCATGTACGTGTGTAAGCCAGTGTAAGCCAGCGCCTGCCATCTCGCCTCCAATCAGCTCCAAACCCTGTCCAATGGTGTTTGCAGCAATCGTCCATTCTCGCGGTTAGAAGGGGATGGGGGAATGGATTATGGAGACTATGATTGGGGATTATATAGGGGCTACTATAGGGATCAATTCCCCATTCCCTACTTAGCACCAGACAGTAGTACTGGATCCCTTGAAGATCCCTTACAGGAACCCCCAAACCCCTATAGTAGCACCCTTATTAGGAACCCTTTATATATAGGGATCCATTCCCCATTCCCTACGAAGCACCAGACAGTCGTACTGGATCCCTTGAAGACCCCCAAACCCCTATAGTAGCATCCTCATTAGGAACCCTTTATAGGGATCCATTCCCCATTCCCTACTAAGCACCAGATAGTTGTTTGAGGCGTTGGCGCAGACGAGGGCCTTTTACACTGTGTGGCTCAACCTTCTGCAGGCCTGGCAGTCATGGGGATCATGAAGGATCTCGGATGGCTACCACAGCGGTTACAGTTATAGCAGAATGGGCCCCAAAACCCTATTCTAGCTATTAAGGCCCCAAGCCAACATGGTCGGGGTTTCAATTGGGAGGTGTAAGTTAGTAATGTGGCCTTCCTCACTTCTTTCTGAAGAACTGCGAACAGCAGGGGCCCATATGCATCTGATGTCGTGGTTTCTGGAAGAGTGTACATCAACAACAACATTCCAATCACACTCCCACATCTCTCTCTCTCTCTCTCCTCCGGTAAGCTTGTTCGCAACATCGACGCGACTTCCGTCTCGCACCATCAGGCCTGCGTTGAAATTCACAACCCAAGAGTAGCCACACTCCTGTATTAGTACTGTAGAAGCTGGGAGCGTAGTAGCAACAGAACTCGTGAGGCCGTCGGCTTTCAGGACCAGCCGACGGAATACGGCAAACGGATGTGGGAGACTGGAAGTGCCATGAGCACGTACTGGCTGCGGAAGGCCGTGGATAGAGAGCTGTGGTGACTACTGAGAGTATTGTTGCGGCTTCCAGCATTGCTTTCAACTGATGGTCCCTGGGTGTTTACGTAATTGCTTGGGTCTAGGTTTGTTGTCGTTTTGTTGCTGATGCCACCATCACCAGGAGCAAGAAAAGACCATACTATTCTGAATTTGGTTTCCGTAGTTCTACTGCCTCAGCATGCCCACTGAGTTCTTCGGATCGTACGGATTGTCTGGACCCTTCACGTGCACATTCGGGTCACCTCTGCCGGACATCTATGGGTAGTTGTCAAAATCAAAGGTCCCTTTTGTGGTACCCTAAATAACAGGTGCACTTTCCACACCGACTCCGCACCTAAGAACCTCGCCTGGCTGTGTCCGAGTTGTGAGAGCGTAAATAATAGGTGCCGTACTATAATAGGGACCCATAATAAGACTAATAATAATAATACTAATAACAATAATAATTATAATAATATTAATAATAGGGACCCCAAAAGGTACCCTAATATTGACAACCACCCATCTATCTACAAGCGCCTTAGCTCTCCCGTTGCAAGAGCTCCAGGAGGCCACGCAGCCGACCTATCTGCAGGAGCAGCAGCTGGCGATTCTTTTCAGACCCTAGGTTCTTCTTAGGGAGCTTATTGTAGATTATTCTAATAAAAAACCATATTCTTTTTATTATGGATCTAGAAGGGTTCCTTCAAGGGTTTGAGGTTTAAGTTACCACTAAGGCAGTGATTTTGTTCTTGTCTGGCCACGTTCGGAGAACAGGTGCGACACATCCAGGCGGGATTCACACAAGCCTGTTCAAAAAGTTACCATAATAAAGACACCATGTTACTGTATTTACCATAGATCCCTTTTTATGGTAACTAAGTTACCAAAAACAGAAAACCTCATTATCTACAACAGATCCTTATTATGTTGACTTAAAACTCAGTTCTTTAAACTCATATTATCTACAATAGGTTGTTATTATGTTAACTTACTTCTTCAAGAAGAACCCAGGATCCGTGGTGGCGATCAACTCCGGCCCTCCGGCTCCCAAGGGCCTCAGAGCCGCGACGATGCGCACGCACACGCGCGAAACAAGATGTAAGTAGAAGTAGAAGATGATAGGGCTTAGGGTTTAGGGTTTATGGTTTACGGCTTAGGGTCTAGAGTTTGGGGTTTAAGATGTAACGTAAGAGCATCCAGTAACTGTAGTATAGCATGGTAAGGTATGGTATAGTTACCATACAATACCATCCCATACTATATAGTATGGTATAGTGTAGTATGTTATAGTAAGCGTATACTGTAGCAAACTAGGCTAGAGCGCAACATGGCGTAATGCAACAGTGTAACGTAATGTGACGTCTTGAAATGTGGTATAAGATCATAAAGAGGCAGCAGAGGTTGATTCCAGTCCTGGCTGGATAAGCAGAGTTGTAGCCTTCCCCGTGAGTGGCGCATCAGAGTGACTCCTTTATGCAGGTGAGTTTGCCCTGTGGCTATTTGTTTAGTTGTTTTCGTGGTACGAGGTGCGGCGGCCTCTCCATGCACCTGCCAGCTGCCACCGGCCTGAATCAGCCTGAGGGCCTGCGTGCGCTTGGTCATCGTTTCAGCAAGCCCTCATGCAAAAGCACCGAGGTTCTACTACTCCTTGCTCCGTGCCGGGCTGAGTTTGGGTGCCGGTCTGGGTTTGTTTTGTCGCATTGACTGATGGTTTTCACCGAAGCTGCCCTTGAAGTGCGATGACACTTCGACTCCCGAGGGCTAGTTACGCGCTTCCTGTTCTAATCCACTTCAGGGCCCGTGCACTTACCTTTGGTTAGTAGGGAATGGAGGAATGGGGTACAATTTTATCGACTATTACTGCCATTCGTGTACTCAGCCATGCAGGAGGCAAAAATTACTACCATTCTTCCATTCCCTACTAACCAAAGGCAAGCGTAGCAGGAGGAACAACACTTCAAGAGAGCCTGCGCCAGCGGCAGCAGCAGTCGTAGGATGACGGGGAGGGACGAGGAGGCGACCCCGAAGCGCGAGTGCCCTGAGCCCTTTTTGGGTGGTTGTCAAAATTAGAGTCCCGCTTTGGGTACCCTAAACATTAGGTGCCGTATTATAATAGGGACCCAAAAAGGGACCGTAATTTTGACAACCCTTCATATAAACCCTAGCCCTAAAACCCCAAATCCGAGAGTTTCAGAAGCTCCAAAGGTGAGTCCGTCACCTTCTGGGGTGTTTACTTCAAGCCGCGCACCACGGAGTTGGGGAGCTCAGGCCTGCAGCGCCACTTTCCAGAGAGTGACGGGTTGAAGACGGCGGGTTTTTTGGGTTTCTTACCTTTGGTAAGAAGGATGGGAAGAATGGTAGTAATAGTAGGAATATGGCAGTAATATGATAGTAATATGGTAGTAATCGTATTTATAATTGTACCCAATCCTCCATTCCCTGCTAACCAAAGGTAAGGTTTAGGAGAAGACCCGCTGCGGAGGACTGTTCGCTGGCACACATTCCAAACTCATGCTGAAAAGGGTTTAGGGAGCAAGGTTTCGGGCCGTTTAGGGTTGTCAAAAAGCACAGTTTCAAGAAGTTTGTTTAAGTCAAGGTGATTGGAGGTCGTGCTCCGGCTACACTTGGGCCCAGTGGTAGAAAGTTTGTTTAAAATCTACGATTGACAATTGATCCAAGAAGCTGCCCCGTCAACCTGTGCGGAACTGTGCTTGGGTTTTGGGAGAGGGAGCGAGAGAGAGACGGACAGACAGGCAGACACGCGGACGCACGGACAGCAGTGGGAGTACTACTGACATTGCTTTCAGAGCTATCCTTATTGCTGGTCTGACCACAAGCTCGGCACTGTACTGCATGCTCAAAACGAGCCGATGCTCCAACCTCTCACGCCCCAGAAACAATAGCACATCCCTTCTTGAAGAGGTGACGACGCCTGGAACGCCCAAATGGACACTCTCGATGAGAAGTTGAGCCCTTGTCAACTCATGAAGGCGAGCAGAGCTGGACATGTGATCATTGCCTAGTCCTATTTGAGTTTTTTCCGTGACCAAATTGAAAGGTTGTTCCTTGTTGTTTGTTTCAGAGGTCGTTCGACGAGCGCAGGCGAGGTTTCACCAAATCTGGGAGTTTGCCGGAAACAGATCGAAGGCTGTAGGCATTGCAGTTTTTAGACTATCTTTAAGGCAGGAAGGAGGGCATGCGTTCCTCCCAGTAGCTGGGCCTTAGGGGCCCCCGGCAGGTTAGTCCCAGAGGAAAGTGCGAGGCATGTTGCAGCCTGGGAACAACTTTTGTTTGTTTCCTTGCTTTCTTGTACACGGCTGCCAAACAAGCTACATGAGGGCTTTGACCTGCCGAGCTCACCAGTGGAGATGAAGTTCAAAAAGGTAGTCTTGGAAGGTCATCTTACGAGAACCGAGCAAGTAACTAGCATGAACTACCGAGCCTCTTAAGCAACCTCTAGTGCTTTGACCCCGATGGAGGTTTCGCCGCTGCTCTTTGGATGCATTGTGAGATCTACATGGAGCCGTGTAGTCTCTTTGCTGCGCAGTGCCGTCAGCAGAGTCTAGCTTTGCCTGTCTCGCTCAGGTTTTTGGTGCCGTTTCAGGCACGAGATGCTGAGTCAGAGTTGAGACTCAACATCGACTTTTCGGAATGTGTGAAACTCATATCGGCAACGGCTACCTGCACTTCCCGGTAGTCTCAAAGCAGTGGCCCAGTACAGAATAGTTAAGCAGGTTGCACGAGAGGCGAAGGAGGTGGAAAGAAGAGAACCTGGTGCAGGAGTTGGTGATGCCAGAGGTGGACCAAGTAATGGGCGACTTTGCCTGCTTGCCGAAGCGCATTGTAACGGCGATTGTGTGCGGCCAGCCGCCAAGCTCAAGATAGTGTTCCCAAGCCCGCGCTTTTTGAGTCTGAATGCTGCTGCGGAGGGAATAACAACTGAGATTCTACCGCTTTCCAGTTCGTGCTGTGGTGTGTCTAGCCGTGCGTGTGTCTTGATGTATTGGTGCACGGACTAGATGAGGTCCCTGCTTCTGTCTGTGCTACGCCAGAAGACAAGCCGAGCTGTGGGAGAACGGAGCGAGTGCAATGATAGCTGGCGATCGTGAGGTACTGGATGCACAGGGGAGAGCCCAGCACAGCGAAAGAGTGCTTCAATGCCGCAAGCCAAATGTTAGTGATGAGCTGGGCCCTCGGATACCTTTCGAATTGGCCCATTTCTTGCCACTCCCCTTCGTGAAAGGCATGGACTGCTTCGACAATGCTCTGCAGAGTTTCATCTGTGAAGAGGCACAAAAGCAAGCAGCACGTTGAGCGAATCAGGGACATGGTCTAACAGCTATCTGCCAGCCAAAGGTGACTCGGTATTACGCAATGTTTGCAACGACTGGCGCGGATTGTACAGAAGGGTTAGAGGGAGAACGATGCAGGAAGATCGTCAGAAAAGCCGACACGCTCGAGATGTACACGAGCTTCCGTGTATGCACATGCATATGTGCAGACATTCTTGTGCACATGTATGCGTACGTCCCCTTTGCACACCCTAAACCCTAAACCCCAAACCCTCGACGAACGAGTCCTCTGCGGTGCGACTTTGTTCAGCTCTGCGGGTGGCAAAAAAATCCCTCGGCTTTCGTGGCATCACCTACTACTACCTACTACCTACTACTACTACTACTACTACTACTACTACTACTACTACTACTACTACTACTACTACTACTACTACCACTACTACTACTACTACTACTACTACTACTACTACCACTACTACTACTACTACTTGCCAGGTCCCCAACTCGAAGTGGCTGCAGTTCCAGGAGCTGCTGCTTGGGTGCAAATCCTGGGCGGAATGGGGGCAGCGCTTCACCGAACTGGGGATTGCCTTGTGGGGGCTACTATAGAGGCCTATAAATCATTACGTCTACTATTTTGGGAGTTCCTTCTTATCGTTGTACTTGTAGTATAATATTCCCCAGAACCCTATTCTAATTATTAAGGCCCCTATACTACAAATTTCGGATATGTACGGATCGTATGAATAGGGGATTGAGAGTCAAGGCCTTGAATGTGCATCCGTCGGACCAAGGATACTCTAGTTGTGTGGCGATAGCAAGCTGCAGTCTTTCCAGTGCATGCTCGCAGATGCTTCCAGCACTGTTATGCAAGACTTGGAGAACATACTCCGTGGTCAGTCCAGGCAGAATACCCAAAAGGTTCTGAACTATCCGAGAGGTATGGGTTGCAGGAATGCACCATGACTTGCGTCCAGTAGTAAACAGGCATGCACCATGCGAACCCAATCCGCACATCAAACACAAGTTCGAAGCACACCAACGGAGTGGCGAAGAGCCTCTTTCGTTTACACACGGTGCGGTTTCTGAGAGGCATTGACACAAGTAGCATGTTATGGCCGGCTTGCCCGACCTTAAGTGGCCCTCCCAGGTATGCATACATGTCCCAAATCGATGGGGCAGTCCGACCTTTCCACGTGCCACGAGATCTTATTCCAAAGTCTGCTGCGCTTCGGCTGCCATATGACACATTCGACGACAACCGGAGCATAATTTGCGAATGTCTTTGCAGAAGGCCATGGTGAGCCGTGAACCACAACCACGCTGCGTTCTCGGTCAATTTCGTCACGGCTTCGCATGAGTTGACGGGTTTTCGTCAAGATGGGCCGGCCCTGTGTCAAGGATCTTTGAGGATCCCGGTGGAGCACAGCGTGATGTCACTGCCTCCCCTATGCTTGCATGCCAACAACAGTGACCCGGAGAAGATCCGCACGATACAGCGATGTCTTGCACAGCCCCCTAGTTTCGGAAACTCTACAAACCCTTATAGTAAGGGCATTGCCGCTCCGATCCCAGGTGAGCTTCACTTGCGTGTCCAAGGCCCTGCGGTCTCGAAGCTTGCTGAGTTCTGCCACACATGGGGGGAGGGGGGCCCTCCGGCTTCTTCTTATTGCTCCCAGGCATCCCTGAGGAGCAAAAGCTGTTCATTTACGAAGCAGATCTGCACTTCGGGCTTTCGGACCTACAGCTTCTGATAGAGCTGCTATACTGTAAGCTGTGCATAGAGTTGCCCAAGGACTTCGCAGGGGCCTGGTCGCTGCACCGCGTTCACCTGCTTCGATCTCTGGACTTTGAGTCGATGAGCTACGCCGGGCACAAGGTGGTCTTCATCGGAGCCGACGTTCCAGCTGGATGCTTAGGTGACAGACGCACCCGGCGTAGCAGTACGATCATGGTCTACTGGCAAGACACTAGGCACTCCTTCTCTGTCAGTTTCAATAACGGAATCCTGGGCCTTAACATGGCACTCGATCTGTGATGAGAGGATGCGACAGGGTCGTGATAGCTGAAGTGTACAAGGCCACCTGCCTTGCATACCGGACCGTCAACAGGATTTTCATGTCCCGTGATCAGGCAGGCTGAGAGTAGATCATGTGGTAATTTCAGAAGAGAAAGATGGCTTTATTTAGAGGTCCTTCTAGCAAGGATCCTTCTAGTTTTTGGCTCCTTAACTTTCCGAACCTCCGTGTAGTTCCGAGTTTGCAGATGCTTGCCTCGTTCAGTCAATCTGAAGCTACTGCTTCGCCTGAGTGCCTGCAATATTCCCACAAGGCCCATAGCACCTCATCTTGTGTTCCCCACTGTAGCTCCACAAGATACAAGCAGCTGACTGCACATCATCAGTGAGGCCTGGACCAACTTGGGCCACGCGCTGGACCGCTTGGTGACGATTGTGTTCGGAACCTACAGCTTCCTGGCAAAAGGCACCAACGTTCCAACGTGCGAGAAAGAGTCAGTTACCTGCGACGTCAGCAAGAGAGAATGGTATACATGGTGTGTGTATGTATATCTGCTAGGCTCCTAGGTCCTCTTGACGCAACAGCAAAGAGAGAGAGAGAGAGAGAGAGAGAGAGAGAGAGAGAGAGAGAGATGGGCAATCAGTGGGACCCCAAAGCCGACCGCTAAAAAACAGCATTGTGTGGTGGGCGGCCCAATGGCCTGAGATGGCCGGAGGGTCACAACGTGACCCCTAAGCCCTGCAGAAAGAAAGAAAGACGGAGAGTACCGAAGACTCAGAAAGCTTGCCCTGCTGGGGGCCCTGGCCCACCCAAGGACACGCCTACCTGAGTGGAGGCATGGCCAAAGTGCCTAGGTTCCTGAGGAGTACCCTTTTGCCCCTTGTGTTTTAAAGGACCCCTTATTAAAACCGAATACCGGGTATTAGGAAAAAGGGTACACTTATTACAACCGGGCTTATAAATACACCTTAAACCCTCAATAAACCCGAAACCCCAAATAAACCTTAATCCCTAAAAATAAACTCTAAACCCTAAGGTGCTGCAGCTCCGTGAGTCCTTGGAGGTCCATGTCCGTTTTTCGGAGCAGGACTCCAGAGATCTTGGATTCGAGGTGGGAGCTTCCACTTCGGGGTCCATTTGGGGGGGGGGGGGGGGGGGGGGGGGGGGTTAGGGTTTTAGGCTTTAGGGCCTTTAGGGCTTGGGGGTATAGGCTTATAGCGTTTAGGGTTTGGGGGGCTTTAGGGTTTGGGCTTTGGGGAGGTGCAGAGGGTTGATTTTGGGTTTTTTTTTTGGGGGGGGGCTGCTTGGGCATCTTGCTCTGTCGGCTCCCAAAAACCTGTCTGAGCTACGCTTCCAAACTCAGAAAACCAGGACCCTCCTTTTACCCTCGAATAAGGGTATATGGTCCCAAATAGTGGCATTTAGGGTCTAATAGAGGGTAGATGGAGGGTCTAGGAAGTCTGTGGCAGATCGGACACAGATGTTGCAGCCTCGATAGCTACTTCCTGAAGGTGAATCATTCTGCCAGCGTGTGGCAACCGTCGGCATCGCCCTCAGCAGCCCTTCATTTAGCCTGAGGCGTGGGTGTACAGTGTTGAGATTGGGCGGTTCCTCTCGTAAGGTTTATAGGGTTTGCTATGTCAGAACTGTGGTGTAGTTCTTCAGGTCGGTGTCCTCCTTTTCATGCGTACTCCAGAGACGCAAGCTCCGAAGATATGTTTTGTCAAGTTTTTCCGGCTGAATTTTACAACTTGAGAAGAGCGTCAGTTTCGGTCGTCTGCCCCACCCCACACTCTAAGAAACCATCGATGATGCCATTCACAACCGTTGTCGACATTGAGGTTTGCTGCCGATTGATTGCAAAATCGCGGCAGAAATCAGATGGTGGTCCTACCATACTACAACGACTAGCTAGTAACTGGTTATCTATGGCAGCTTATGCACTTGTGCACTACATACTACGTAGCTTGGGCCAGCAACCCTCGATGAAGCCGAGGTCATGCTGCCTTTTCTCACACTTTTCTCCTCTCGTCCAATCCGGCTGCTGCCGCAACTGCCAGCAGATCGGGTCAATGCTTCCGCCCTCCAATCGCTGACACAGGCGGGTTTACGATATCTTCCAAGCGGAAGCTGGAATGACAGGAGAGCCGTTAAAGTCTCAGCAGTCGGAGTACGAGTAGCTTGCAGCCAGCGCAGCACCACCAGTGGGATGAGAAAAAGGAGCAGGAGCACGAGCCGTGGCAGTAGCAGTGCAAGTGCTAGCGTTAGCAGTGGTAGGGGTAGCGGTGCGGCAGCGCTAGTGGCCGTGGGAGTGGGAAGTGGTGGTGGTAGTGCTAGGGGTAGTGCTAGTAGTTAGTTCTGGTAGTAGTAGGAGTTGAAGTGGGAGCGAGTTGGAGTACGAGTAGGAGGAGCAGTAGAAGTAGGGGAACGCGCAGCGTTTGGGCGTGAACTTAGTCTTTTCAGGCTCGACGAGACGGATAGGATGAGCATGGTCGGCTTTGCCCGGTCCACCGGTTTAGGGCTCAGGGTTCAGGTAGACAAGATGCAACGCAAGGGCGAAATTGCGACGCATGCTCGAGACTGCTTGTGTTTCTCTTACTAAGCCGGCTTCGAACCCCCGATCCTGAGTCAGGTCGGCACTCGTGGCAACAGCTGCTATGCTGGAGGCTTCTGGTGCTCTCGAAATGGGCCCTTGACTGCGCCAGAATTACGACTGTTCCGAGTAGCCCCTCGGCTTATGTTTGAAAGTGTGTTTCGGTCTCAGTTGCTAACTGTTCTCCGAATGCTAAAACCGTTCAAGAAGAGACAAAATCCGCACCGCCAAAGTCAAACCTGCGACTTAGGACCTTGGTTTCTTAGATGTTTAGTTGCACCCTTGAATCCTTTTTTTTTTTGCCCCCACATATGGGATTGGATTGTTCTTAATTTAGGTATCATGGGGTTTATTAATAATAAACCGTGGTCGATAGACTCATAGTCATTGGTGCTCAAGTAGTAGCTTTTTGCACACCTGTAGTCCACACAGAAACCCACAGACCCTATTAATCCCCTGGGAAAACCCAAACCCACTCGCCCTCGCCACTCCCACTCGCCCTCGCCACTCGCCCTCGCCTATCGCCTAACCCAAAACCCGGACCCAGACCCACTCGCCCTCGCCTAAGCCATAAGTTAATTCCTGCTGGATCATGTGCCTCCTGCTGCTGCTCCTCCTCGTCGATTGGACAGCGGGGGATCCCAGAATCATTTCAGGGCTTATTATAGGGTTTAGTTAAGGACGACCGATACAGGTCGAGACCGATACAGGTCTTGTAGTTAGGACGACCGATGCAGGTCGAGACCGATACAGGTCTGTAATTTTAGGGTCTAGGTCTAGGGTAGGAATTTAATTTATTAGATTGGAGACGACCGATGCAGGTCGAGACCGATACAGGTCTTACGTAGCTTCGGGTCTAGGTCTAGGTATTTGACGACCGATGCAGGTCGAGACCGATACAGGTCTTAGGCTTAGGTCGGTTTGGGGTCTAGGTAACCTGAGGACCGATGCAGGTCGAGACCGATACAGGTCTTAGGTAGGCTTGGGGTCTAGATTTAGGGTTTAGGGGTTTAGGGTTTAGTAAATTTAATAATAATAATAATAATAATAATAATAATAATAATAGGGGGTTGAGGGTTTAGGCTCGGGTTACTTCCGGTCTAGGCCAGGTAGTGCTTAGCGCCTCAGATGTAGTCTGGGCTTTAGCTGTTCAGGGTTTTTGGGCAGGGCTTGGCTTTGGGCTTCACGGTAGCGTTTGGGGTAACCTGTGCTGTGGCTTAGCGCTCATAACGCCTAAACTTTAAGTTTTTACCCTGAACCCTAAACCCCTAAAACCTGAAACCATGAACCTTAAATCCCCTGAACCCTTTAAAACCCCTAAACCTAAAACCCCGAACCCTAAATCCCTGAAACTTAAACCTGTGTCGACCTGCGCCGTGGGTTATTAGACTACTCCACCTCCCTGGCCCTAAGCCCCTAAGGGCTTAAGCACCTAGTAGGTTTCGGGTCAGGGATCTTTCGGAGCCTTACCCCCAATTCAGAATAGGTTTTTAAAGGGCAGGGGTGATTTTGGTAGGATTATTCGGGTGTGGTTTTATTTAATTATTCAGATAATCAACAAGGGTGAAGGATTAATCACGGCCAAAACCCCTTGCCCGACACAGGGTCAGGGCCTCAGCTCTGTGCTCTCGCCCTCGTTGGGTCAATTTGCTTGGGTTTTCCATTTCAGACCTTGAGTCTTTGAAATTACGAGGTTGATCTTTGAGCCGTAGAATCACGACTCGACCATGGGAAGCCTTTTCAATCAATAATAAATTAGGGGTCCTCTCGCCTATCGTCCTCGTACCGACTTGTTGACAACTTCGTAAACTCATCAACGATGACACGCGAGCCTCCAACTAAACCCTGATTCAGGTGAAAAGCTGCAGATGGCTTTGCGCTTCTGGGCTTGGAGCCCAAAGCCTTGCGAAGTGGTGTGTCGCCTTGCTCTACCAGCCACACCTGACTGCCCAGGTCAAACTGCGCACTGGTGGGCTTGGAGCCCAGTCGCATCACTTTTGACTTACCCGCTTTTGGGGAGTGTCTGCAGCTGGAAGTGGAACTATCTGACTTTGACACGAGGCCTTGGCCATTGTTGCGACGCCGTCACCGTCCTCGCCCGAACGTGCGGCTGACACAATTGCTAAGTTGGTTTCTGCATGCCCAGGCACTGACTGTATCACCGTCGCTTGCAAGTCATTGCCTGTCGGTTGCATTGCAAGTTTGGCTTGAGCTTGACATCATTCATCCGTCGGTGTTTTCAGTTCAAGAGTGACAGGGCCCTCGACATGCCAGCCATGTGCAATGACATTTAATAGTGTTCACTACTATACACGACACGAGTCACATGCTTTGACAGCTGGCAGGGCTTGGCTGGGCTTAGCCGCTTTAACCAAGGCTTAGCTTCGACTTAGGCTTAAACGTCAATCTTTAGGATTGCTTAAGGCTCAGCTTAGGCTTTGCGGCTTAGCTTGGCTGATAGGGTTGAGTTTTGGCCCTTTTGAATTCCCATGGCGTCTTCGTCCGCCTCTGCGCCCTCGACGGGCCTGTTGCCCCCGGCCTTCCAGGCGGCACACAGCCGACTGAGGGAGGTTTTGCTCGCCCTGGACTTGATCGTAATGGCTTGGGGGGCCGAGGCGTGGTATGACAACGGCAGAGGCCACCAGGATGCATGCAGGACTTATTGACCTAAGACAGTTGGGTCGTTAAATTATAATATTATTATAACGACAAATTAAATTTTCAAGTCGTTGGAATAACCCAGGTGATGGCTTCTATGGCAGGGACGGCATGGTGGGGAGGCTCAAGAGCTGGTACCCTAGAAGCGTCCACGTCACCGTGGACGTCCGCGCGCCCTCGCTTTGGCCGAGGGACGAGGCCCGCTCCTGACCTGCATTGCAGTAATCTTTGGGCTTTACAGGGCTTAGACAGGGCTTAGCCGCTTGAAGAGGAATCCTGAACTTAGGAGACGGCGATACGCCCACGCAGATCCTCGACACGGAGAATGGGCGACGGACGCTGCGTTACTGCCTTGCGCAGCTCATCAGCATGGTGCTGCCTGAGTCCTGCAGGCAGGTTTCTGTGCTCTTCCAGGTCATCTGCAACTTGGCTTTGTTAAAACAGTTATTAAATGTTATTATTAATATTCATGAGTAACCCTAGCCATGAACCTTAAACCCGGGGACCCTGTTCCCTAAACCAGTAAGGTTCCGCTGGGAGGCACAGGTCCGCGTCCATCGCCCTCGCCCTCGCGTGCATGTTCGATCTGCGGCTTTATCTGCCTAGCCGGGAAGGACTTATGTCCGACCCGGAGGTTCCGGCGAGGCTCTCGGCAACCAGCCGGTTGTGCAAAATGTGCCAGGAGGCTTTCAAGGACGTTTGCAGCGGCTTCTTCTGGTACTTTCCAGTGCCGCCTCCGCCCACGCCCTCGCCTTCGCCCCCGGCGCCTTCGCCCCCGGCTGCCTCTGCGTCTGAGCCGCCCTCGGCCCAAGAGCTCGCTTCTCATCTGCATTTAATAATAAGTAATTTTTTGATCTAAATAATAATAAGGACCCATTGCCTCGTTGTAATGGTTTTGCTCTTAAGGTCAAGAGGAGCGTCACCACAGCAGCTCCATGGGTCGTGGAAACCCTGACGGAGCTGAAGGTGGACTCCAAGACGTGGAGCGCTGCTTGTTTGCATCGGACCCTTAAGTAAACTACCCTAACCCTACTCTGTTTCTCTCAAATCCTCAACCCTAAACTCAAACTACTAAAACCCTGATCAGGTCGTGGCATCCCTCATCGCCCTCGGCCCCGATGGCTTGAGCAAATTGGGGGAAATAAATACGATCGCTCTGCAGCAAGCTCGACTGTATCAGTCGTGGGCCTGGGCGTCGCAAAAGCAGAAGGCCCGGCTTTCTTTTCAACTTTTATTTCTCATAATCAGAAGCCTAGGCTCTAAGTTTTTGCGTCCTCGACCTCGATCTCGCCTGAAGGATTCTGCGTGGAGGAATCCTTCTGCAATCCTGACGTGGCACTGCCGGACCGCGATGAACGAGATCGGCAACGAGCGCGACTCGGCGGCACCATTAATAAATTTAATTAACCCCGGTCCATTGTAGCCACTTAATTTAATTATAACATTCAAAATATTTAAACAACCTGGACCTCTAGCCTAAGGAACCCGAATGTCCAGGAGACAGCCACACACGGCCTCGCCCTCGTCCCGGCGGCGCTCCCGCTCCCGCTCCCGGTCCCGCCGCCCGCGACCGCGATCCACAGCCCATGCCATCTCCTCAGCCTCCGAGTCCTCGTGATGCCACTGCGGCCTCGTCGACGATGTCAATGTCGATGATGTCGTATTCTCTGGTGCTCGTGGACGATGACGACCTTGATCCGCCATCGTACTACGAGCCACCTGGCGGAGACGACGATGATGAGGATTTCGAGGTGGTTAAGCCACCGGCATGATAGGATGCCCAGTAGTCTTAGTAGTAGTACCATTAATAAATTAATCCTAGGTAAATTTACCCACTACCTTCGAAACGGAGCCCTTGTTGAATTTTATTCCTAGGTTACTGGGCATCCTATAAGTTGCCGGTTCGAAATTGCCGGGAACAGTTCCTCTGGCAGCTCTTCCGTTGTGATTTCAGGGCCAGTCTTTTTGTGTTAAATTATAACTTAGATTAAGACAAAGAGCTCAGTGTCCTGTAGTTTTCATTCGCCCCCGACAAGACATCTAGTCTTAATCGCCCTCGACCTCACGACGGAAGTTCAACAGCTGTCGGAACCTGTCTACTACCGGCCGGGAATGACGAAAAAGGTGTGGAACGTGCTTGGTGACTGCATAATGATGTGAGCATGTCATTGACTGCACTTGTTTCCTTGCGGCCCTGCCAGGCTTTTGGTCTTCTGTCACCTACGCCTCGGTGCATCTCTCAGTCAGGGGGGTTAGACAGCAGCACACTTTTTGACTGACCATTGGATTGCATTGAAATTGCCAGTTCGACCATTATTATTAATTTAATGACTGACTGACACCATTCTGAACCAGGTACTCTGGGAGACGCCGTCGTTCACGCCATCGCTTCGCTGCTGCCCAGGACCAGTTGGGCTGCATGCGCCATTGTCAGTCTTCATGATCGAATCATGTGCTTTCAATATTTCGCAAGC